TCGCACCTATGGACAATTTGGAGTGTTCAATCGGGCTGCCATGCCTGTTTTTGGAATGTGGGAAGAAACCGGAGTACCCAGAGAAAACCCACGCAGGCCCGAGAAGAACATGCAAACCCCACACAGGGAGGCCGGAGCTGGAATTGATCCCGGTACCTCGGGACTGTAAGGTCTACGCGCTAACCACTGGACCAACGGGCCGCCCACACTGTCAGTCAAGCTTAGTATTTTTCTTTTTTATGCAATTCAGTATAATAATAATAATAATAATACAAACTGAGAAAAAAACGACCATGTAATTCCTATTTTATTTGCATTACTTTGCCAGTACACAATGTATTTTGTGGTTTTCGTGGACATGTTATTAAAGGAAAATCATTGTAATTTTAGAGCAAGATAACTCGGCAATTGCCCATTTAAAAAACAAGGAAATGACTTTTGGGGCCAAAATGCTGTTTTTCTTACAAGTATCTGAAAAGGATTGCTTTCTCCTTCCTGAAATGGACATTCATATCAAGATTTACATTGAGGCATATTCTCCCGTTTGCGTTCAGAGGGATCCTCCGGCCAGGACTGTCTGTTTTTCACAAACAAGGTCAATTTGTATTTTTTTTTCAATAAAATGTTCAGGGTGTACCCCGCCTACTGCCCGAAGACGGCTCGGATAAACTCCAGCATGCCCGCGACCCTCCTGAGGATAAGCAGATTAGAAAATGGATGAAACTGCAAATGAAGACAAAGAAAAAAAATTATCAGCGTCTTTATTTGGGCATTTTAGATACATTAAAAAAAAAGTCCCAATGCAATACTCCTCTTACAAAGAACCAACACATAGAACTCACCAAATTCCATTTGTAACCGACAATAAATAAAATATAGTGTTGTAACAGGAGAATTAGGCTGCTCTGTCTCATTTACATTTCGGAACATGCACAGTTCTGTGAATATTACAGAGGGCGCGGGACGGCGCGGGGGGGGGGGGGGTTAATAATAACCTAAGGTTTACGTTTAATTCTAAAGATATTCCTTGAATTCTGCATCGAATGGTGTGGAGATGTCATGAATGATTTGATGTTTATTGAGGAGAATCCTTTCATGACCTGAAATGACCACTGAAAGAAACATGCTTTTTATATCAGCAACTTCCCCACAACATTGTGGTAATTCTTGTGAGGTTAATATCGTGATAATATCATGTTGTGACATTTGGATATCATTACATCTCACGATTGTGACAAAAGATCATACGATTCATGAGGTAAATGGTAATCAGCGTGTAAAAAAGCTACTAAAGTTTGACTTGAGCCAAAAAAAAAAAAAACAGACTCGAGGGGGCAGAGTGAAGTAAAGCGACACTAAAATCTTGCTAGCAGTCTGAAAACTGCAAATTACCCCTTTAGGTCCAAATTTTTGGTGTATTGTTGAAGTCGCTATTCCTACCAGACTCTAAATTTTGACAGACTGTCCTTTTTGTCCTTGCTATGTTGATAGTTTTATATCTGTAAATACATTATTTGGCCAGTCATCAAACACCCTTCCTCAGTCTTGTTTCAGATTTTGAATTGTCACATAAGCAAAAATATCACCATCAAGGTCACTGTCTGCTTAACATATCCAATTGAACAAAATGTAATTTTCTCCACTTTTTGGTTGTAAACCAATGTTTTTGGTGAAACCAAGCCATGTTCTTGTTGCAGATTGTAAATAGCTAGAAACTAACGTTTAGCCGAGTGAGAAGACAAAGTCTACTGTTTCTTTCAGTAGGACAGTCACTTACGTTGTCACAGAATATATTATGTGGTCTTGAAAAATCAGTCCTAATGCTGAAAAATGACCGGAAATAGGGGGAACTCTGCTTTGAAAACGGCTGCCAGTGAACAATTTACACATTGAGGTGCTCTTAAATCAAGGTACCATGTAAAAAAAAAAACATAAAACTGAATCAGTTAAAAAAAAATCCATGATGTATCGGGGAACACTGGACTGTCTGCTAATTTTGGAATGGGACAAGACAATGACATGAGCTCATGTCCATAGTGATGATTGTCCGCAGTCATGTCGAGGTGATGAGTAATCACCAGTTCCAAGTTATGTGTGTTAAAAATATCAATGACTCCCTTCACTGTACCGGGGGAGTTGTGGGAGAAAAATGCTTTTAAGACTGCTTGACCTTGTTCTTTTCCTGGTCATTGACATGCTGCTGATGTTGCGGCTGCTGCTCCTCCCTGCTCTCCTCCCTCTCTGGCCGCTCATCGCCCTGCCGGGCAATGAGCAACCGGCAGGTGAGCAAGATGCCGAAGACCAGAGCATGGGCGTAACGCTTGAGAGGGTCGCCGACAAGCTGGTGGAAGAACAGCACAGCCAGCATGACCAGCAGGAGCATGAAGTTGGCCACGTCTTTGGGCCGGCCCGGAACCAAGGTCAGGACCACACCGCAGGACACCTCTAGGGAGCCGATGATCTTGCGGAGCAGCACAGAGGTCACGCCGATCTTTTTCAGGCCTGGCAAAGCTTTGGCATAGCTCTTGTATGCCCGTTTCTAGAGGAAAGCACATCGGATAAATTAAAGCAAACCTTTTTTTTTTTTATCTTTATTTGCTGTTGTCAATTTGTTTCATTCATTCATTTATTTTCCGATCCACTTTATCCTCACAAAGGTCGCGGGGGGTGCTGGAGCCTATCCCAGCTGTCTTCGGGCAGTAGGCGGGGGACACCCTGAATCGGTTGCCAGCCAATCGCAGGCCACACAGAGACGAACAACCATCCGTGCTCACACTCACACCTAGGGACAATTTAGAGTGTTCAATCAGCCTGCCATGCATGTTTTTGGAATGTGGGAGGAAACGGAGTACCCGGAGAAAACCCACGCAGGGCCAGGGAGAACATGCAAACTCCACACAGGGAGGGATCGAACCCACGACATCTGCACTGTGAGGTCAACGCGCTAACCACTGGACACCGGGCCGCCCAATTTGTTTCAGAGAAATCAATAAAAAACTAACGACTTGAAAAACAGCCCTTGGAAAAGAGCAATATGGCCATGCTCCCCTCCCCTGCCCTCCATGTCTTGGTGGGAGTCACGACAGGGACTGGTCAATATTTATCCATTCAAAGTCATTGTAAATACATCGGTGCATCCATCCATCAGTTTTCTGATCCACTTATTCTCACAAGGGCCGCGGGGCGTGCCAGAGCCTATCCCAGCTGTCTTTGGGCAATAGGCGAGGTACACCCCTGACCTGGTTGCCAGCCAATCACAGGGCACTCATAGAAAAACAACCATTCATGCTCACAACCACACCTTGGAACAATTTAGAGCAGGGGTGTCAAACTCATTTCACATTGTGGGCCACATAAGGCCTCGGTAGATGTAAAGTGGGCCGGACCATTAAAATTCTACCATACTCTGCTATAAATAACCAAAATAATGTCTTTCCTTTGTTTTGGTCTAAAGAAGCACAAGAACATTAGGAAAAGGTTTAAATTTAATAAACAGATCTCTTACAAAACATTTCATGAAGCTCCTTAGATTTCCTTAGACAAATGTGCAATTTACTTTTATCATTCACATATATGCATTGCAACTGATCCCACTGATTGTACAAAGACACACAACTTTAACAAGTAATTGGTATTGAAAAATATAGTAATGCACTTTTAATTTAAGATTAAACGAGATTTACAAAGAAAGGAATTTTTAAACCATTTACACGTGTATATAAAATCTAAATGTAATCCCTGCCTACACCTTACAAACTAAGGAGAGTGCTATTAAATGTGTAAAGAATAAAGTATTCACGTCCTTGATAGTGTCTGCTGTGTTGGGTCTATCTCAGTGACAGACTGAGGCTGCTATTGTCTTCTTCTCTGATCAAAACAATGTTGTCTTTTACTCCATTCAAAACAGTGTGTCCCCCTAGCGGATGCTCCATTAATTGCACCTCATTAAAAATATTCATTCCGTGTCTTTTATGCATTTTTTTTCACTTTTAAATTACCCTGCGGGCCTGATCAAACCTCCTTGCGGGCCGGTTCCGGCCCGCGGGCCGAATGTTTGACACCACTGATTTAGAGTGTTCCATTAACCTGCCATGCGTGTTTTTGGAACATTGGGGGAAACCAGAATATCTGGAGAAACCCCATGCAGGCACGGGAAGAACAGGCAAACTCCACACAGGAAGGCCGGTGCCAGATTTGAATGCTACACCTCTGCACTCTGAGGCAGACACACTAACCAGTTGACTACCAGGCCGCCCTTGTTTTAAATATGTAAAGTATAAATACTGTTTCAATATTTGAAACATGCTGGTACCTTTGATGTTTCTCACATCACAACTTCTTACAATAACATCAATGGTCAGACAGATAACGACATGTACAGTGGCTCTTCACATGCAGCTTACTCCCGCATGTACATAAACATAACTGGTCTGTTGTCAACTGCGTGTAGTTGAACACCTTCACCAACAGAGGGGGCTAACATACTGTGGAACAGCCGTCAAATCCTGGTTCAAATGTATCCATCCATTTTCTGTTCCGCCTTATCCACACAAGGGTCGCGGAGAGGGGGGGCGTGGGGGTTCTGGAGCCTATCTCAGCCGTCTTCAGGCAGTAGGCGGGGGACACCCTGAACCGGTTGCCAGTCAATTGCAGGGCACACAGAGACGAACAACCATCCGCGCTCACACTCTCACCTGAGTGTCCAATCAGCCTGCCATGCATGTTTTTTAGAATGTGGGAGGAAACTGGAGTACCCGGAAAAAACCCACGCAGGCCCGGGGAGAACATGCAAACTCCACACAGGGAGGCCAGGGCTGGAATTGAACCCGGTACCTCTGCGCGCTGGCGACGCGCTAACCACTGGACTACCAGGCCACTGTGGTTCAAATTTAGCTGTATGCAAATATTACATCCACATAAACACACACGAAAATTCCTAGGGGGGCGGCAAATAATACTTCACGGTTTTTGGTACCAATTCACCATGAATAACGACGGGTTACTCAGTTTTGTTTAATTACTTTACTTGTGAAATAAAAATATTTCATTTGAGATTTTCTAAAATTACTTCACACTTGAACTTTAAAAAGCAACTGTATGCAGGGCAGTCAGAAAAGTGTGTTATGCCGAGGTCTTAGGTATATGAATAATGTTTTTATATTTCATTATATATATTTCATTAGCAGCTGCAGCGGTGTTGCACTTTTTCCTGACAATGTGTTCAAACTCGCTGTTTGAGCACATGAATATTTCTAGTTCTAGAGGGGTGAAAAATGCAGCCCTCTTCTTCCCCGTTGCCATGGTGACTCGTTGAATCAGGGATCCATTGATATTGGCTTTTGAAAGTTGTGGTATACGCAGTTAACTCCAGGGGAAGACAATCGGAATTGATTAAACACATTCAAATCCGCTGTTCTGGAACCGCAAACTCAGAGTTGCTATGTCAAAGCAGATCAACTCCGATATCAGTTTGTTGAACACTCTTTGTGAAACAAGCCCCAGGATGTGGACTTGTGTTTGCCAGTTAGTCTGGTGTGGCCTCCTTGCGTGTGTTCTCATTTAAATTTGTGTTCTTTGATTATTTGTCCTGTTCAATAAACAACTGAAAGTCCATTGATGAATGGTGGCTCACCTTGACCACATGTGAGGGAATAACGGCACCTTTTTCACCTCACTCAAGCGGCGCGCATGTTAAGCTTATTACTTAAATTTTAAATTACAAAAAAATGAAAAACTAATATTTCATAAGACAAAAAAAACTTAAGCCAAGGTACCACCAATGTACCTGATTTGTAGCAACAAATGAGCATTTTGAGGTCACGGGAAAGCATTTTGTTCTTGTGTCCGTTTTGGAGCCAAATTTTTCTTTTCATTTGTCATGCCATATATACCTGATTACAACCAGGTCAAAGTCAATTTATGAACACAAAATCAGCTCCAAGTTATTTATCTGCTTAGTCCAAATATAACACTTGATGCTGCAGTTCATTTCAAATGATTAATATTAGTGAGGCTATTTGAACACACGTACGGCCTAGTTTATCCGCTGATGTATGCGTTGGTAGTCATACTTCCCGGCGTTTATGCAATTTTCCAGCGAGGATGGTCTATTTGGACTATAAAATGAGATAATGGTGGCGTGAAAGAGAACGTTAAGCGGTTATTTTGCGGTGAGTTGGATATTTAGGTCATCCATCCTGCACAGAACAATGGCCTCCCCCCACTTCTCCTTCACTCACCATCTCGCTATACGCGTCTTTGCTGAGCCTCGGAGTCAGCTTAATGGTCCCCATGAAGACGAAGAACAAGCCGAGGGCGAAGGAGAGGGCTACGATGGTGATGGTCCTCGGTGAGGGCATTTTTGCACGACGAGCAGTCAAGTTGGGGTTTGCGATGAATGGGAGACGGTGCACCGGATGCTGCTGCCGGGTGCCTTGCTAAATAATGATCACGCACCGACAACCTGCTCGTCTTCCGCGGGAGCGCGCACAGCTGCGTAAAAGGACTGCGGTCAGGCCAGCCTCCACACGCAAAACTGATGCCAAACCAGCCGCCACAGCGATTGTCAACACTGTGAATTACGTTAATCCGCCGCTAGCGAGCGATGTTGTCCACCTTCAAAATAAAAGCTTAAAAAATAATGCATGGTCAATGTTTAGATTTAAAATGTTATAAATTAACTTCTCTGCTGTCATGACACCGTGAGAATGCAGTTGTCTCACTTACACTAAAAATGTTATTAAGTTGACATAGAAAGCGAAGTAGCTGTTACCTTTGCATCAATGACTAAAATTACATTCTCCATTTGAATTTCTGTATTTCTGTATGTATTTATTTATTTATTTAGGGGGTGGGGGGCGAAACTGTTTCATGATGAGCAAGCGTCTACAAATAAAAGTAAACAATATTTTGACATTTCTCCTTGCAATAGTGTAAGTGCCCTTTCTCTTTCACCGGGTCAAGTGCTTCTCCCGGCCAACTAGGCTGCTCTTATAGCCTGCGGTGGATGTGAGGACTTTTTTAATACAATAAAAGAGCCAAAAATTAAAAAATACCTAAATATAATTTTTTTAAAAAACACTCAGAACTTGTACGCTTATGCGTCGCCCCCCGCCGACACCAAGAATGCCATTATTGTACTACGATGGGATGCCTGAGAGCGGTAATGAGTGAACCCAGAACCCGCTGGAAACACAGACGCGCATTACATTACCCTGCGGTTTATTTTTGTTATTTTTTTGCAACATTTTCCACAAGACCTCATGTCATGTCACACTCACACTGGATCTCAGCAAGCGAGGTGCTGACAAACAGATGTGTCTCAAACCAGAGATGGGCATTCCGTCCACGGACGGACGCCCATTTTTGGGACGGAGGACAAGAATTTTTTTGGGTCATTTTGTTGTCATTTTATTCGAAAACGGAACATTATAAATACATTTGGCCATACATACAGTTTGGATTTTTATTTTTAATAAAACAGTAGACCTCCACTACCTGCTGGAATCTCCGTTTTGAAAGACTCACGGATCCAGTGAGAAATTGACATTTGTGCATTAAATTATATTCTGCCTATTTTGGTGAGTAGAGGGATGAAGTGATGCCATACAAGGAGGGAGTTTTTTTGCTCATTTTCCCTGATCTTGACGCTCCTTAAGAGCCAATATGGCTTTTCGGTAAAGATCTAGGAGGAGAAAAGATCTTTATTATGAAATCCAACAATTAATCTGCATGTGGTGGGGGAGTGGGTAATTCTCACCAAATGTGGCGGCAGAGAGGTCAACAGGTTGAGCGGAAGCTCCAGATGTTCCTTCGATGTTGATTTTGTTCCTCCTTTTAACTTTCACACCTTTCTTTGTTTTCCTCTTTTGCCCGTTGGCTGCACAGACAAATTATTTCATTGCAGTACAACAATCCTTTGTTTATTACAAGGGGTTACGTTCCAAGTCTCACCTCAGTTGCAAACAAATACAGTATTTATCTTTTAGATATACAGTATTATAAAGCTTTATGAAAACTGTAATAGCAATCCAATAAGAATGTCAGGTGCAGGTATTATTTTTGTCCACTTGGGGTCACCATCCTCACTTTCTACACTCAGTGTGATATGGCGACAGACGACTCGATAATTGTGATTGGCTATTCATAAATTCACCAAATTCAAATACTGAAAACTTTATTTGTCCCCGAGTTTTGTTTCTGTGGAACCTATTCCCTTTTCACCGGAACACTCACTTTTTTTGAGGTTTTGTGCACTTTCAGAAATTGATTTAAATGCCACAAGATGGCGCCAAAGCCTGGTCGAATAAAAAATACATATATTATCCTGGCCTACCTCTGAGGGGCTTCTCGTCATTGACTGTTGATTCAGGCGCATTCGGTGTCTCCTCTTTCACTTTGCCCTTCTGTTTGTGTCTTCCCTTACTGGTGGGGATGAGTGTGCCACTGGGTTTCTCTTGATGGCCGGCGTTCTCAGTCTCCCCTTTACTTGTCTCATCTTCCTCCTTCTCGCTTACCACTTCTTCATTTTGTTTGTCTTTATTGGCCTTGATCGGCCTTTTTCTCCTCCTGGTGGATTCCTTCAGTTTCTTTTGTAGTGTCTCCTCCTGCCAATAACAGTTCATCTTGTCAATAATTCATGTATGCCAAAGGTGGAATTGAAGCGGTCTAGTCCAAAATCTATTAACCTTTTGCATGATGTTCTGGATGGGCTGCAACTTTCCTTCCACATTCGTCATTTTCGTTTCCTTGTTTTTTGACCTGTGAACCTGGCGGAGGTCTGACTTGCTGGTTCTCGTGCTGTGGTTACATGTGAGGATGGATAATATGAAGTCAAATTAAGGTTTCACTTAATTGTCCATCAGATGTGCACATTTCTATTGTGCGTCTCCTCATGCTGGTAGCCTATCCCAGCTACTAGGGTACACCGTGGACTGGTCGCCAGTCACTCTTAGTGCACTGCCTCATTGTGCATGTTTGCTGTTGCTCACTGTGGTCCAAGGAATGCTCAGCTTGTTTGAGTGCTCAGATGCATGGAAAATTAGAAACATTGGTCGTAAAGACTAGCACCCTGACAGGCATCAATCAAACCCAACCTTGTTTTGTGTATTTTTCATTCAGCTCTCATCAGAATGTGGATGTATTCATCATGTAGTGGCACTAAGTATGACTTACCGTTCGCTCTTGTTTCCTCTTCTCGCCTTCACTGCCTTGCCATTCGTCTCTCTGGGCTCGAGAGGCCTCTTGCTGTCCTGGGCCACGCGGGTGCACAGCCCCGGGTAATCCAGACAGACTGCTCGCAGCAGCCAGCGAAGGCCTCGTAACGCCTTCCTGTCTGACCAGCGCCGTAGGTCCATTAAGGCTGAACAAGGCTCCTTGAGGGGAAAGGGGGTCATAGTCCGTTTAATGTTAGGTTGATGTGAGAAGGTCGTGGTCAGGGTTCATGTTACTGTAGGACTTACGATATGGCACACGGAGCGGCTCTGGTTGACTAGCTTCTCCAAGGAGAGCATCTCGATCAGCTCACTTCCCAGCAGGGCATTCATTTTGTCTTGTTTGTTTGCCAAGCTGTAAAGATGAACAGCAATGCACAGACTGAGGCTCAGAGTTCAGTTGTTAAATCACACTTCCCGAAAAAAAAAAATTATCCCATTTTTTTACATGGACTTTTTCATCAGAGCGGTGGAAATGTGGTTAGCATGTCTGCCTCACAGTTCTTGGCCATTTGCAGCGTTTTGTTTTGCTGTTATTTTGTGTGATTTGTAGTTTGCATGTGTGTTGTTTGTTTGCAGCATGACTGTATTTGCAGCGTTCGGCCGTTTGCAGCGCCTTTGCCCCTGTCGGCCACCACAGATAAAGCCCTACTTAGCCCATCCCATGTTTTAGAAACAGCTTGGAGGAGGTTCTGGGGAACAGCGCCATTTTTACCACTCGGCCACGAAAAAGTGTAATGGACAAGCAACCACATAGAATGGAATCAGGGTGGTTTGGGGGAGAACCCCTAAAATGGAAAAGGGGCTGTCCTGAGACTGACTAGTGACCAGTCCAGGGAGTAGCTCACCTATCACCCTAAGTTAAATAAGCTCGACCCTACCTACAACTTTAATGAGGATATGTGAAGCTGCATTTTAATGATTTGTTCAGTGTCCTTGAATGCCTAGAAAAGGCACCGCTGAATAAATATATTGTCATTATAGTTGCGTTTCACCTGTGAGTTAGCAGCTTGTTAAAACAGCTCTGCTAAATTTCTCCTTAATTTGTTGTCTTCCACCCTTTTTTATCATATAGTGTTCATTGAGTATCTTGTAAAGCCATTGTGGACTGTTTTCAGTGTTTTGGGGCATGTTGTTTTTTGGTGGAGAATACAGCATGAGTGGTTCTTGTGTGCGCCTTGACAAGCAGCATGTTTCATGACGGTAAATATTAATGCTATTAACCTTTCACTTGTTTACTTGCTACAACTGTGAGGAGCTACAAGTGGAGGAGACGAGAGTCGGTGAAAAAATGAAGTCAAGAATGGACTACACGGGACAGGAGAACTGAACCACTCATTCCGTATGTGTGTTACTCACATATTTATTGCAAAGATATGCTCTGTAAAGAGAGAGAGAGAGAGAAAAGGGAATATAATTACACCAGGATGGGTTTTCCTGCTACTCTGGGCTCCTTGAGCAGGTCAGCCAGGACCTCCTTGACTTCCTTTATCCTTGGCCGGTCGCTGGAGTCCACCACGAAGATGATGCCGTGTGCTTCCCCGTAATACTCCCTCCAGGCCCCTTGTGACTCTATTGAGCCCCCCACATCCAGCAGGGTGACCAGGTAGTTCTCCACCCTCAGCTCACTCCTCACGCAGCCTTGGGTGGGGCCTCCTTCCACGGCGTGGGGGACTGCAGGGGATAAAAGAACCACATCACAGGAAAACTGTCAAATGGAAAAAGTGAAACAAAATGAGTATTTTTACACACATTTAATAATTTGTTTAAATTTTTTTTAATTAATTTAAAATGTGGTTTTCAGTTGAGACCCGTTCTGTTCACTTTGAAGATAGCAGGAAAAATAGTCAGCAAAAAAAGAAGCAAGGATAGAAATGAAGTGAATGAAAAGGGATGATAGGACTAGATTAGAAGAAAAGCAATGAAGAAAGGAATCGAGAAAGGGTTCATAGATGGAAAGAAAGAAATAAAGACAGCAGAATGGGCAAGGGTTGAACATGTGTGCCTCGTAATTCTAAATTCTGGGTTAGAATCCCAAACAAGAAAGAAAGTAATGATAAAGAAAGGACAAGAAGGTACACTAGATAAAAGTCTACACATCCCTTTTCAAATGCCAGGTTTTTGTGAGATAAAAAAGTGCGACCAAGATAAACAATTTCAGAACCTTTTTCATCATTAACATGATCTGTAACCTGAAATTGAAAAAAAAATATTTTTCAAAGGGGAAGTATGAATAAACAAGTGTGCACACCCTCTGATACCTGGTCTGCTTAACAGAGTTTTCCAATCACATTCAAACTTTTGTTAGATGGGAGTCAGAACACATGGGGCAGTAAAGATAAAACATTTAAAGTGCCTTTGATTCACCCCAAATAAAGTTCAGCTGTTATCGTAGGCTCTGTCAGAAGCCAGGAGGTTGTGTTAACTTTGACTGCACTTTTGAACGGTTCATATTTTCCACCACCTTTTCTAAACCCCAAGTTCAAAATATACAACCCATCTTCCCACACTTTTTGGGAAGATTGTGTTCTTGTACAATAAAACCAACTTTTTGGCCATAATTTATTCAGGTATTCTTGGTGCAAAACACAGCAGTTCTCATCACCAAAATAATATTATAACCATCGTAAAGCATGGTGGTAACTGCATCATGCTTTTTGGGTCCATTTTTCCTCATTTGGAACTCGGGCATTAGAAATTATTTCTATGAATTTATTGTATTGAGGAACAATGCAAACTGTAATATTGTATTATATATTTTGCACTTTATTGCATATCAACATAAAAATGCATTTCTACAAATAATAACCCCCTACATAATCAATGCCTCATATACAGTACAGTTGAGTTAACAAGCTAGCCACAGCTATTACATGTGAAAATACAGTATTTATTAGGAAAAACAAACATTGATGAAGAAATAATATTTAGTGCGAAGAATTCATTGATGGGTACCTCTTAACATGCCCCGGATGGAGGACGTCTTTCCTGCTTTGTCAAGACCCACCACAAGAACAGTCACTCGCCTATGAAATAAATCAAACATTTACAATTAAAATCAAATCAGTTAGCAAAGTTAAGATGGCACTAAATGTATGGAATGATTCATTAAGCTACACTAATGGACCAATATACAGAGGTGACTTGAGAGTTCGAGGAACTCAAAACACACCTATCTCAAATAATCTTTTCCATTGTCATGAATGCAAATGTCATTCATCTATTCTAGCCTTCCTTTAAAAAAAAAAAATACAAAATTTGTTGTATATTTGATGGAGGTGAAAATAACACCCCACAGTACTCTATTTTATACAGACACGCAATAATTATATGAATGAATAAAAGGAATTTAAGAGGTTGGGGTTTTTTTTTGTCACACTGCATCAATTGAATGTGTGGCTCTTTCTGCTTTGCCTGTCTTGGCCACTTGGGGGCAATGTAAGACAGACAGATGGATATACTGCTCATTAAGACGTGTCAACTCTCCTCAGCACATCAGAATGACACTAATATTAGTCATTTTTTTTCAGAAGATAAAGAATATACTGTAATAACTGTACTGTTTGTGTTCGGCCCGCTGCTTAATGGGTTATTGTACATAACCAGCACACACAACATAGATGCTAATTAGCGTTACCATTAAGCTAGCAGACTGAAGGCGAAGCAATGTGGTTATTTTAAATACGGTGTAATTCCCTTTGTTTAATGTTTAGTTTGACAGTAGATTTTAAAATGGGAGTGTAAGCAGACAGATTAAATACATTTTTTTGAAAGAATTCTTCACTATTTGCCAAATTGCTGCTTATTTTAAAGTAAGTTGAGTTCAGCTGCCATCAAGTTGACTCACTTGTATCTCAAGGCACCACTGTATGAGAAACACTGCTCGGTATGAGGTGATTTACATCAACTGCAGCATCAGTCAAACACAAGCATTCTTCTAGCATCCAGTAGACATGTTTGCCAAGATCACCTTATTGGCTCCTGGATTTTGGAGAACCAGGTGCAGCAGTTGCTCATCAGGTTGAACATGTTGTCTTGAGGTGAGCAAGGCGTGCACAGTGGCCACCATTTTCTCTGCAAGCGGTACCTGGCATCACAAGGGGACATCATTACTACGACACAACACCGAATGAAATCTTCTCATACGATCAGCTGAAATATACATTTCATTCGTGGATGCTTTTCAGTAGAGTTGATGAAAGATAATCCTGGATGATGTACCAGATGGTTCCGCCTTTTATTTGTGTCACCTTAACATAAGATGACTTTCTTCTCCAGCTCTAAATTTGGCTTTCCTTTACCTAAATACATGCTCAGAGTTACCCATGGATTTCAGTATATTTGAACATCATGGGAAAACCAAATTTATCTTAATACTTATGGAAATAAATCAAGTTTCATACAATATTCAAATTTATTGAGATGCACTTTGGTTAGTATCAGAAACCAAATTAATCACATCTCAGCAAAACACTAAAATAAATATGTATTCATGCCTCATCAGCGCCTATTGGACCTGAGCACAACTGTAAGATTAAATCTCCCGAACAGTGATATGAAAATAACACTTTTTTTTCATCTGACTTTTTTTCATCAGTTTTGATATTCAAGCATTTTTAGCAAATCGTTATTTTTTAATCAAATTAAATATACAACAAATAATTTTTTCCCTTCAAATGATAATCAAAATGGATGCCAAGCTTTGATCAAATGACATGATATAGGTGAAAAAGCTTGGTCATCCAGCAACACTGACTGAAACTTCCTCCAAGTCCTGCATATGCACGAGACACTGCCCTATTTTTGGGCCATGTGGTGAGTGTGGTGTGTACGACACAGCAGGTGTCTGAGGTCAGCAGACGACATCAATAACGAAATGCACACACGCGAACTGGCAGGTCTTTCACTCCAGTGCATCTGTTGTGTCTTTGTATAATCTGCTAAAGCCAGTTTAGAATGGTCTGCTTTTCCTGTCTTGTGAACAAGTTGACCCAAATTTTCTTTCACACAAGGTCACCACACTACACCAGGTTCAGCCCATCACATCATTTTATGTGGCCCGCGAAGGCAAATCATGTTGTCCCTGTCTTCTTCACGTTTCTTGCAAAAAATATTGCAAAAATTTGCTAATTGTCTTCACTCTGAATAACGTTGATGTACTGAAAGCATTTTTTTTACAGTCTCCTTTTCAAAGAGAGGAATAGTTGGACACATTTTTTTTACTTGCTTCTGATTTCAGAACTAGCTATCCATGCATTTGTTGTGTATACAGCAAGTAGTAATATGAGGTGACAATACATTTGTATAGCAAGGGGTCAACAGTCATAACGGGAAAATAATTATGATGTGGCCCGTGCCAAAAATTAGGTTTGACATCCTGGATTTAGAGCGACAACATTTACTTCAGGTTTGGTATTTCTTAGTTTAATTTTTAGTTCTAGCAACATACTTATCTGCAAGGTTTTCCCAGTGGCTACCTCTAGAGGTTTAGTGCAATCGTGGTTATCAGTCTAGACATCCAGCAAATCTATTAATAGAGTATTTCGTGAACAATAACAATAATTTTCTGTATTCATTCCTGTATTTAAATTAAAAACAACAAAAAAGGAGTTAGCCCACTGAAGTTAATTAAATGTCTAGTTGGTCCTCTGCAGAAAACTACATAATCATGTATGATTTACATATTGAGTAGGGTATTAAAATTGACAAAACAGATCCATTGCCTTAGCAATAACAAACCATGCTGCTATTGATGAATAAACATACAATAGTGGACTCCAACCTAAGATTAACGGATGATTGTTGCATACAGTTACAAAAATGTACAAGGTAATAAATGAATGATACGTACAGAAGTCGGTCTATGTCCATACAATTGTTTCCACACACCAATGCACTAACATCTTGTACCTACCTGCTACAACACTTAATCAGGCTCACGCTAAGCCTCCGCTCACCCCATGTGGGAGTTGCAGTCCCTGTGTTTTGGTCTCGCAGCCAATCGCAGGGACACCGCGTGAGCCGTTAGCTTGGCCTATTGGATGACTCTCCTTTAACGGGACTAAAGTAACTTAATGGGGATCTCCATGAGGTTAGTTTAGTCCACAGAGGGCTAAATGGATCTCATGGTGTGACTTGTGATGTCTGAAAGGGGCACCATGGACACATTTAGGCTGGGTGGAAAATGACATCATCTTGACAACGAAGATGCCCGTGTGGCACCTTACGTTGTACATGTGAATCTTTCTAAATATATGGAAATAAATATTACAGTCATACAGACAAACAAGACACCATATTCTCAGTGAAATTCAATAATATTACTTGCTGTTGTTGCAAAAGATAAAGAATATATTCTCATATTTGTATTGTGACATTGTCTGTCTACACATGTTGCTCCACCATTTGTGGTCAAATATGTTTTGCTTAAAGGGTAATACCCCTGCAACTATCAATGCCAATGGTTAGCACACCAATGCCATTTCCCAATCAATGTTAGCATTTAGCTAATGCATGTAAGTCTTTTAGTTTTATGTTTGGTTTGACAGTAAATGCCAACTGGGATTGGCAGCAAACGGCATGAAGGCTGTTTTTTTAAGGAGTTGTTCACGATTTGACCGACTGCTGCTTGTTGTGAAATGAGTTGTGTTGAGTTCACTGCCACCATATTGTATCTCAAGTATGCACTTGCACGTCAAAGTGTAAAAAAAAAATAAATAAATAAAAATAAAATCAGCCAAATCATGCTTGTATCTCTAAAATCTCATAAATCGATAGATTTTTTTTTTAATTCTCTATGATCTGGATAAACTACAAAATGAACCAAAACAGTATGTGCTTAATCATTTGGAACACAGAGTCAACAGAGTAACCAGAATCTTAGAAACTCCTACCAGTATGATGCATAATAATAATAATAATAATAATAATAATAATGACTTTCAAAAAACGTACAAACAACAAAGTCAGGGATTTGCTGCCATGCCATTGTTCGAACAAACGAAACCTCAGATGAACCTACACGTTCATAATCATTTGTAATAATAAACATTTGTCGAGTTGTAGTGTATACTTTACACTTTATTCGGTTGCTTAAAAGGATCCCCACCCTTGCTGTCAAGAGAGATAGGCAAGTCATTTATATCTTCTTACGTTTAGTCATGATTTGATTAGAACACATTAGTAAGCTTATTTTATAACGCAGCATATTTATGGACAGTACCATTGCACATCACAAAGAGAGGATCAACCAGTTACATAACATCATTGGCAACAAAATGCCTTTCGCTGAGTGGGGTATAGAAAACTATCCCTAGATGGCGTCACAGTTACAGAATCCGTCTCTCGACTTTTTTTCTTTTTTTTTTTTTTTTTTTTTGTTATTGCCTACAATGCATTAAATTAAAGCGAGGCACCATATTTTTCACCATGCTTCTTCCACAATTATAGAAAAATCAATTTCGTACCTATCATCCATACCAAACATTGAAAATATACAGGGTGGTACTGGAGAGAATAGTTTGAAACATAGATAGAGGTCCTCACTGTTATTAATTAATTTACAAAAATGAGAGGGCAATACTCATTTTTGTCAGATACTGTCTAGACTTGTCTTAATAATACACTACAGGATAATCAATAAAGTACAGACAAAAAAAAAAAACAAAGAGCCGACTTGTATGGTAATATGAGCTCATAGTAGTTATTGTGTGATTATACTTGAGGTACATCAATATTGAGAGTGTGGACTCAAGGGTTAGTTTGTTTATCTCATTAAGTCATTACACTAATGTCCAGTCAGGTACCGCCCTTCTCTGCTGCAAACCGCTACACTCAAACACACGTACAGATTCACACAGGGCCAAAAACAGCTGGGTCAAGCAAAATGGCCACACCCCTGTTTGCTCCACATAGCAAACATGCCTCAAAGACCCCTGACAGTTGATTTTGCACTCTGTGCTAACCTCCTGATTCAGAGGCGGCTCTTGCGAGGATCTCAAATAAAGGCTGCACAGCGCAAGCCTGACGTCTGCTGCTCCATAATGATATTTCCATCTTTCGCTTTCCCCAAGGCCCCACATGAGCACAAGTACCTCTGCAGTCTGGAGTTCGTGACCCACAGCAACGCATGCATTACTAACGATGAGCCTTCATTTGTGCTGTCCGCTTCCTCGTCCTCCTCCTCTTTCCTCCTCCTCACCAGGCGCAACTCATTTATTGAGATTAAATCTGACAGGAAGTAGATAGCATTTGAGGGTGAGCTCTGTGGTCAGTCTTTTTCTCCACAGAAGAAATAATGGACAATGTAATATATGTTGGATATCAAAATGTTGCAATCATTTTTTTCCTCCTCCTCTTTCCTCCTCCTCACCAGGCGCAACTCATTTATTGAGATTAAATCTGACAGGAAGTAGATAGCATTTGAGGGTGAGCTCTGTGGTCAGTCTTTTTCTCCACAGAAGAAATAATGGACAATGTAATATATGTTGGATATCAAAATGTTGCAATCATTTTTTCTAAAAAGTGAGCAAAAATAAATTTGACACTCCCCAGAGCAGAGTGTTGTTAATAACGCTGCAAAACTTGAATTAAAAAAAAACAATCACTGCTGGAACATCACGCCACTCAACTGTCAACTGTCAGTGAAATACAAACTTGAAAAATGACTGTGAGTTCCTACACACACACAGTAATTACATGTTTGAGCCACAAAAAAAAACCAACAAAAAACAAAAAACGTCCTCCAGTGGCTGGAGTATATCCCACTGGGTCATCATGAGGCTTTTCCACGTCACGAGGCACTGTGCACATCCTAGTGCAAAGCCCTGTCCACACATTGGCTGTCACATCAGACATTTTTTTTCCTTTTTTTTTTTTTTGCCATCACTCTTTTGTCTCACTCTTAGCCATTGCTCACTCATAGCCGACAACAAAACACTTTAAGACATTCAAATTAATTTTATATGCGGATGGGATATGCATTTTTGCTACCTTCACATTACAAATTGTGCCGAATAACCGCTGATGCGAACAAATATGCTCAAGTTCTTACATACCGGGGGAGGGTCAACTCACGACGGACACCCAAGTGTATCATTGGGCACTATTTCAGCCAAGCCCCAAACAATCAGGAAAACTGAAATGGTGGTGGTGGTGGTGGTGTGGGGGGGGGATATAAAGACCAGCTTTATTTACTGCGCGGATCCGCATGTTAGATGGTGTTTAATTAGTTCCAAAAATAAGTACTACAAAAAGTATCTCTCAGTCTTTGCAAGTTTTCAACAATTATCTTGAAGGATGCATAATGTATTTCAAAAACCAATCTCTGTATTCACTCGACAGGGTCTTAAAACAACACACAATTGTAAGAAGTTTACCGTTCTATATAACAAGAATTAAAAAAATAGAAATTGCATGTAGTAAATGCTAAAAAGTCCTTGAGACTTGGAAAATGCATTCATGATAAAGTATATTATAATGAGACTAGTTTGAATCGGTTGAGGAGTGCTGAAGGAGGATGTCTGAATTGATTTTGTAGTCTCTTCGTGGAAAATGTGGAACTAGACATTATTCATCTTGTGACCTGCAAATCTTTGAGGCATACTTCTCCCTAAAATTTGAGTTTGTTTTAAAAAATTGCCTGGACTTTACAGTTTCTGACAATGTGCATTTGGCTATGATAAAATCCTCAGCAAACATCAGCAGCTCATTTGCTTTCCATGCTTAAGCCACACAGTCAGACTGGTTCCTTTAACCTCAATTTTAACATATGTTCCAGAGAGCCAGTGTGACCTGGACAACCAATGTGACAAATGAGGACACGTCCATGTAAAAAGTCAATGAATTGCAGAGTGAGTCACTCTTTGTTATTGTTTCTCTCTCTACTGTACAGTTCCCAGCGCAACAAGTCCGAGGACAACCAGTGGGTGAACTCTAAAAATGGAAGTGCAAAGCAGCTGAACTCTCAATGCTAAATGTATCCCACTGCCAAGCTGTAGTGTGCTCCTCTGTGTTTTTACTTGACAAGAACATGATATACTGTGCTGCAAAACACTCATCCATTTTTAGTTGAATGCAGGAGAATAATCCAAAAGAGATGACGTTAGCATGTAACCATGTGCTGAATGAAGGGAGTTTCCACTTGCTTATGCTGAGGGGTGGGGGGAAGCATCATTAAGAAGATAATATTTAGACAAGTATTGAGATAAAAAAAACAGCATGATGACTACGTTTCAAGGCACTATTTGGGTGGAACTGACAGAATCCAGCTGCTAGTTCTTCTCTATAGAGGGTGGTGCCAAAAAGCACATTTTTCTGTTCAGGCAACAGATTAAATAGCAATGGAGAAGAGTTTTTGATTTGACTAAATACATTATGTTGTAGTTATGTTGTCCATCCATCCATCCCATTTCCTGATCTGCTTTATCCTCACAAGGGTCGCGGGGCGTGCTGGAGCCTATCCCAGCCGTCTTCGGGCAGTAGGCGGGGGACACCCTGAACCGGTTGCCAGCCAATCGCAGGGCACACAGAGACGAACAACCACCTATGCTCAAACTCACACCTAGGGGCAATTTAGAGGGTTCAATCAGCCTGCTATGCATGTTTTTGGAATGTGGGAGGAAACCGGAGTACCCGGAGAAAACCCACGCAGGCACGGGGAGAACATGCAAACTCCACACAGGAAGGCCGGAGCTGGAATCAAACACGATACCTCTGCACTGTGAGGTGAATGTGCTAATCACTGGACCACTGGGCCACTGGTAGTGTGTGGTCCATTTCTATCCTAGAAGTTTCCCTCAACATTTTCAGCTCAAGACCCCAAATTATAAACAAAATTTGGTTCCTCCCTGGGACCCAAACCAGCTTAACTGCTATTATTTATTGCCACAACATACTTAAAGATAATACATAAAGTGTCAGATATAAGGATTTATGTGCATTTACAATCTAACAACTAAATTAAGTCTGTAAGTGTTATATCGTGTGGTTTGTTATAGATATTTTTATTGATATTTTCCCCTATTACATCAATAAACAACCAGAATTTTACATCAATAAACAAACAAAATTTATTTGTAAATGAGTGCATTTTTGCATTTAGCAGGGGAACAAATAAGAATTTCCCTAACTTTATATACTGCACACTAATGCTGAAAAACACAGGACATGACCTCACCACACCAAACAGGAATAATTTGCCAAGAAAAAGTGTTCCTGTCTGAATGACATTATTCCACAATAGGCAACTCAATAAAAATAACCGACTTGGAAAAGGCTGCTCTCCAGGAATGTGCCCGAGGGCTTTGTTATTGGAGACCCATGTAACTACTGTATTTACCTTTTCCGCCTACGCAATCTAACAAAGAAATTAAGTCTGTAACTGTTATATTGTGTGGTTTGTTATAGATATTTTTATTGATATTTTCCCCTATTACATCAATAAACAACCAGAATTTTACATCAATAAACAAACAAAATTTATTTGTAAATGAGTGCATTTTTGCATTTAGCAGGGGAACAAATAAGAATTTCCCTAACTTTATATACTGCACACTAATGCTGAAAAACACAGGACATGACCTCACCACACCAAACAGGAATAATTTGCCAAGAAAATGTGTTCCTGTCTCAATGACATTATTCCACAATCGGCAACTCAATAAAATTAACCGACTTGGGAAAGGCTGCTCTCCAGGAATGTGCCCGAGGGTTTTGTTATTGGACACCCATGTAACTACTGTATTTACCTTTTCCGCCTACGTCCAAAAAGATGTAAGAGAGAAGTGTCGAGTGACACACTGTTGCTTACTGTAAATATTGACTATTCATCAGTAATTTGGTGTGAAGAACTATAAAAATACACTATTTATTTTTGTATATAAAGTAGCATTCTTCCAAAAATATTTCTCACCATACTAGGAACTAGAGCACAACTTTGCTGTGTTCATAACACAAAGCGTCTTCTGAAAATATATTCATTTTTCAACACAAAATACATACCATTCATAACGTTGATGTTTTTTTCATACTACTGATACCCTTCCTGAATTTTAAATGTGTTCCTGTCTCAATGACATTATTCCACAATCGGCAACTCAATAAAATTAACCGACTTGGGAAAGGCTGCTCTCCAGGAATGTGCCCGAGGGTTTTGTTATTGGACACCCATGTAACTACTGTATTTACCTTTTCCGCCTACGTCCAAAAAGATGTAAGAGAGAAGTGTCGAGTGACACACTGTTGCTTACTGTAAATATTGACTATTCATCAGTAATTTGGTGTGAAGAACTATAAAAATACACTATTTATTTTTGTATATAAAGTCGCATTATTCCAAAAATATTTCTCACCATACTAGGAACTGGAGCACAACTTTGCTGTGTTCATAACACAAAGCGTCTTCTGAAAATATATTCATTTTTCAACACAAAATACATACCATTCATAACGTTGATGTTTTTTTCATACTACTGATACCCTTCCTGAATTTTAAACTTTAATGTCTACTCGCTAATTAGATGCAAAATTAGCCGATAGTTTTTGTGACATCCCTGCATTAATAAAATTTTTTGTTGTTATTTTTTTTTCTTTTAAATAATAGGTACAGTACCAGCTCAGTAATTTGGTGTGAAGAACTATAAAAATACACTATTTATTTTTGTATATAAAGTCGCATTATTCCAAAAATATTTCTCACCATACTAGGAACTGGAGCACAACTTTGCTGTGTTCATAACACAAAAGGTCTTCTGAAAATATATTCATTTTTTTAACACAAAATGCCTACCATTCATAACGTTGATGTTGTTTTTCATACTACTGATACCCTTCCTGAATTTTAAACTTTAATGTCTACTCGCTAATTAGATGCAAAATTAGCCGATAGCTATTGTGACATCCCTGCATTAATAAATTTTTTTGTTGTGATTTTTTTTTTCTTTTAAATAATAGGTACAGTACCAGCAAAATGTTTGGAAACACCTTCAAATTCAAATGATCTAAAAACACATTCGGAGATCAAGATATTCAAGATATTAACTCTTGATAATGAACAGCTGTGAACTGAAAGTCATTCCAGTTCATAAAGCATCATCCACATCATAAAGCTAACTGAGAAAATAGCAAAGTGTGCAAAGCTGTTATCTGGGCAAAAGAATCTAGAGGATACGAAATTCTTAAGAAATTGTTTTGGTTGACATTTTTAACCAAATAATGTAATCAATACTGAAGTCATTTACGTAACTACAAGAATGTCGTCCTTTTTGGGGTGGTGGGATGTTAATGCTTATTTTCATGAACAGCAAAAAAAACCATGTCTATCAAAACCAAAAAGTTTGTCATTTGAAAGGACAAAATCATCGTCTTGGCTTGAAAGGGCTTAAACCGGATATCCAATCTTGGTCAAATGCTCTTATTTTACGTGGCAGTCGTTTCCACATCCGATATTGTGTTTATTTTGTGAGCCAGCTTGCATGCTCTTTTATCCACAACCACCAGCCACGGAGGTGCGTACCATGAAACAGCTGAAAACACTTGCAGCCACAATCATGCCAAGTGCCGCCGCCACAAAGTCACTTTAATCAATACTTCAGTCATTTACGTAACTACGAGAATGTCGTCCTTTTTGGGGTGGTAGCATGTTAATGCTTATTTTCATGAACAGCAAAAAAAAAAAACATGTCTATCAAAACCAAAAAGTTTGTCATTTGAAAGAACAAAATCATCGTCTTGGCTTGAAAGGGCCTAAACCGGATATCCAATCTTGGTCAAATGCTCTTATTTTACGTGGCAGTCGTTTCCACATCCGGTATTGTGTTTATTTTGTGAGCCAGCTTGCATGCTCTTTTATCCACAACCACCAGCCACGGAGGTGCGTACCATGAAACAGCTGAAAACACATGCAGCCACAATCATGCCAAGTGCCGCCGCCACAAAGTCACTGTCACATGGCCCAAATGATGCACGAGGCAGGAAAGAAGACCTTTGGAGGTTTTAACGATGATTGAGTTGACGACGTGACGAGGCGGAACTTCCACGCCGACGGACCGAGCGAGCGAACGGCACCGACGCCGGCTGCGGAACGAACCCACTGCTGCTTACCAGGCCTTTCCTCTGGATAACATTGTATCAAAACTTGATGTTTTTATTGCTTTGAACGCAGGAAAGAACAATGGTGGCAGGTTGGAGAGCTGGAGCCGACTTATACGTGGAAATACGTTTTTTTTTTCATTTAAATAAGCTTGTCCCCTGGGTGGTTAAAGCCTGAAAAAAGTTTGACTTTGTTGCTGTCGCCATGGAGGAGCAAGAGAGGGAGATTTCTTACGCCGACCCCCCGGCGTCGGACAGCGAGGTTGTGGTCGTGGTGAATCCGAGTCGAGTGCGCCCTCCGCTGGGCGTGGTGCTCGCCACGGTGCTGTACTGCGCCGAGCTGCTTAACGCCGCCGTGCTGTGCAGCAGCTACCACCGCACGGACGACGAGCACTGGCTGGGATTCACCATCACCTTCATGCTCCTGCCGGCCGTGCTCATCCAGATGACCCTCATCTTCATCCACAGGGATGTGGGCCGAGACCGGCCACTGGTCCTCCTGCTGCACCTGCTGCTCCTTGGGCCTATTATCAGGTAGGTTTTCACCCCCGCCCCAATCAAACGGAGAGGGAAAACATAGGCAGAGGAGGCAAAAGTACTCATATTCTGTACTTTAGAAGAAGTACAGACAGTTGTGTTAAAAAAACACAACAACAACAAAACCACTTAAATATAACCTATACTTGGGTAAAAGTCTTTACAGCTTGCAACTGGGCCACACATAATTCTAGACCATTTCTGATTATCTCAGATTATCTTTATTCATCTAATAACATGACAATAAATGCATAAATTAAACAAATACGGCACTGTATGGTGGCAGTGAACAACAACCCATGGTTTGTCAGGTGCTGAACAATTCATCATAAAGATGCCTTCAAGCTGTTTTTCTACTAAGTTTATTGCCAAACGAAATGTAGAAGAAAAAAGTAAAGTCTGGACTGTTTTAGCTTAATGTTAAAAAACAATGAATTGGTTGGCTAATAAATAGCATCAGTGTTGCCTTAAAAGAAACCTGATATGTTGGCACAAACGGTGGAGAAACACCTGCAGACAGACAGCGTAACAATACATGCATATATTCTCTAAACCTCTGAAGAACAACTAAGATTACTGCAGTGATTGTCTCCATTTATATTCATATGTATGTATAATACTTTATATATACTCTGTGGTCAAGGCTTGCACATCAGAAGGAGTTTAAAAAAAGGGCAAAAACTGTTTAATTCTCATAGAACTAATTACACGAATATATTTATCTCAAGACACCACTGTAGTGATTCAAATCCACCATTCAGTGGTGGGCGGCCAGGACTAAACACTATCAGAAGCACTGACCTATGGTGGACATGAAAAGCCAAAAAGTGGGTTCAAATGCCTGTTTTTTTTTTTTTTTTTTTGCCCTATAAAAAAAAAAATGAGACTGAGCTAAATAATTCCCAAACTTTTTCACCATGAATGTGACCAGATATGTGCTGGGAGCAAAACTCTGGGTTTTTTCTTGTCCCCAAGATCGCAATCAATAAATAGATCAATCAAGATCTAAATCAGGGTTGACTTTAGCTGTTTACACCATTGTTTCACATTGCGTCATCTGCAACGGTTGAATCAAGTAATGAAGCTGTTTGACACAATGTGGATCAGAAGGGACAGATTCCCTCATGCGTTGAGTACGAGTCACCTGACTTACAGGTCTTTCGAGATACGAGCCTTCATTTGGCCTGTTTTTTTTTTTGTTGTTGTTGTTCTTG